AACTAGCTGAAAGAGAAGGGTTAAGGGGATAGCAATAAATACTCATTTTTTTACACTGTGGGAGAGTGAGATTGGACTCCCACAGGGATTCATGCTGGGACCTGCACTAGTTAGCATACTCAGAAACGGTCTTGGAAAGAGTGAGTAAAGGAAGCAGCACAGTTTGCTGCTGATGCAAAATTCTGTGCAGTAGTGCCCTATGAAGCTGACAGCAAAGAGTTTCAAAAGGATCTCGTTGCGCTGAACAGCATGGCTGTTAAACTAGAAGTGGAAATTTAGTCTCAATAACCGTAAAGTAACGGGTACAGGCAAGATCAATCTTAATTATATGTGCCTAGCAGTAAGTTCTATGTATGCTGTTATTGCTGAGGAATGAATTCTTAGAGGCTCTATAGGTAATTCAGTTCCAACTCAAAAACACCAGGAATTATTAAAAAAGAAAGACAGAATGGAGGAGAAAATGCTGTGACAACTTTGTGTATACTGGTGGTATGGCCCCCATCTAGAGAATAGTGTTAAGCTCTGGTTTTCCAGGTCAGAAAGAAGGTAAAGGTAGATAAGAATAAAAAACATAAAGAATTACTACTGCTTAAAACATGACTACCAACACTTGGACTTTTCAGTGTGAAAAAGAAAAAAGTGATAATGCTTGGGCAACTAAGGGAAGATGATTGAACTATATAAAACAGTGTCTTGTAGAGGGAAGGTAAGGAGCTCTCATTCACTTTTTCCAGTTAAGTGGGCATACAGGAGAAATAATGGAGAGTAGGTTTAAAGCAACCAAAAGGTAGTCTTTTTTTTCAGATGCTGCAGAACTAAAGTATGAAGCTCACTGCTTCCAGAATTGTGGAAGCTAAAACTGACAATTACTTTCAAAAAGGAAATAAACTCAGAAGGGAAGCAGTGCATTGGCAGCTAGTAAATTGAGTGGAATACAGTGGCCTTTGGTTCTGGTTTTCCCTAGTCAATGATCTACTGAAAAGTGAATATATATTGAGAAGGATAGCTTTATACCCAACCTGTTCTTTATACTCACTTCCTGACCGTTCAGTCCTGGTCATTACATTCAGAAGTGAGTTAGAGATACTTGTGTAGTCTGATACAGTATGGCCATTTTGCAGCTACTATAGGAGAGAGACACCAAGACTGTCAGAGTTCTGGAAAAATGGTGTGTTGGAAAGGACTGAGAGAACTGATACTGTTCAGCCTCAAGGAGGTGGATAAGGGAAGATCTTCCTGCTGTTGTCTGCATGGAAAACTGAGCCAAATTCTTCTCAGAGGTGTACAGTGACAGGCTGAGAGGGAATGGACACATGTTAAAACATGGTAAATTCTGCTTAGGTACAGAGACTTCTTTCTTTCTCTCTCTCTCTCTCTCTTTTTTTCTCTTTCTGTCTTTCTTTCTATCATGAAGGTGGTCAAATATTCTAAGAAGTTGCCCAGAGAGGCGTGCCCTCCTTCCAGGGAGATACTCTAATAACAACTAGAGGTGGTCCTGAGCAATCTGCACTGACCGGCCCCCCACTTTGAGCAATAGGCTGTCCTGGGTGGCTTCCTGAGGCCCATTGCAACCTACATGATTCTGGCTTCTTAAGGTGGGTTCTTACCACGTGCTTGTGCCCCAATGGTACATTATTTCATATGGCATGTTGATGACAGAAGTGGAATGTATTTGGTCTGAGTTAACTATTACATTTTAAAACTCGAGGGAAGAATGTAGTGGGGATAAAGACACTTTGGATTTGGCATAAAGCAAGCAAGAGTCAGCTATGGTATTTTCTGTCTAGTGGCATGACAGTAGTCATTAACATGCGTTGTAAAAATATGTCAAGGAGTTGATTGTCAGGGTGCAGCTATAGCAGGAGTCAGTAAATGGTACTGTCATCCATGCTGACAGTTTTTGGGTTTATTACTTCCAATGTCTTCTTTAAACAAATTACAGATAATTCATAATTCAGATGCTGAATGATAGGGCAGAGTATACCTAGTATAGCATGTGCTGCCATGGCACGTGATGTGATTGTGCAGGTACATGTTCTCTGCATCTGTATCAAACCTGTTTCTAACAAGAAAGTCAGTGATAAGGTATTCTTCACCCTGATGTCTCTAACTAGGGTCAGTGCTTCTTAGTACTTGGGTTAAGATTTTTGAAAGATAAGATAGTGTTGTTTGTGGCTGACTGCTTCTGTTCAACATCTGCCATGCATGGCATGAACAAACAATTCACACTACAGAAACACCCACAACTGCCCATCACTGTTTTCTCCTGTAATAA